TCTCATCAATTTTGGTGTAGTGCCATTTAAATTTTTTGTATGGTAGTTTCTTACACATTGCTAAACCGTATAGGTTATTAGCATCCAAATAACTTATATAGCTTGATGGTTGTGTTTTGTCATGTTCTTCATTCATGTATTTATTGTTTGCTACTACTTGCTTGTATGAGCACTGGGTCATCCCTCCTCTCAATCCATTCTCAATCAACTCATACATATCTTTATTATGTATTTGTTCAAGGCTGATGCCTGTTTTATGTAAAAAAGTATTCCAACTGTAATTAGGTAGAGTGATATAATGGGCTGGGTCTAAGCCGTAATAGTTTCAACACATATCCCTAAAGTTTTCAAAAACATCAGTCAATAAATAAACATCAGTCATCAAATACAAATCGTGATATTCACCGAGATTGTTTATGTTAAAATGTTTCCATATAATGTTTGCTCTTGTATAGTCTTTGTCAGTAATATGTTCTTCGTATAAATGACTGTAAAAGTCTTCTTTCTTTGGTAGTTGTTCTTCATTGAATTTATTGAATGAGTTCATGTAATCATAAGGATATACCCCCTTCTCAGTCAATAAATCTAAATCAGTTTTGTTTTGAATATATGGGTTGGTGTTTGTATATCTAAAGTTGTTCTGCCAATCTTTGATTTTTTTCATTGTTGTCATATTTGTTTAATTTTACTAACTTATCCAGTGAAGCAGATAGAAAAGCAAAACTGTCCTTGAACTCACATTGACCAAAAGAAAAGGTAATAAACTTTTCCGAATTTTGGGCTATTACACAAATCTTTTTGTTTGGGTTAAGTTCTTGGTTCAGTTCATTAGCCTTTTCAATTATCAAGTGGGCATCGTAATTTTTGAGGTTATGAAAAAATACTGGAACTTTGAAAAACTTAAATGAATAACCCAAATTACATTTCTCATGAGCGGCGCCTCTGTAATGACCTGTAAAGTGGCAGTGGTCGCGAACTTTTTTATCCTTTTTTTGAAGTGTTTATTACATATAGAGCACCTTGTGGCATTTCTAAATTCTAACTCCTGCTCATCTGATATAATCATTGGTTTATTTTCTTTCATCCTTTCAAGTATCTCATCTTTAATTGATGCCAGTTGTTCAACAAACTTATCCATACAATCTTCACCTCTGTAAATGCATGGAGTTGAAGACTTGTTAATTCTATCAACTACATTTAACATAAAACCGCATGGTTTATGATGTTGATATGTGCCCTTTATGCCATCAGTGCTATTTGTTGTTAAGCATTCAAAATCTCCGTAAATAACAAAAGGGCACTCTAACTTAGTATTGAATTTTTCAAATTCAATGTGTGAGCCTTTCTTTGGTAATTTGATATGCTGACCTTCAATTGCTATACAACCTTTCTCAAGGTGTTCACTTAGAAACTCTTCATGAGTAAAAGGATGATGACAATGCCTACATATATGCTTTGGTTTTGTGTTTTTGTTTAGTTGCTTGTTTAACAACCTGCTCAAGTTTTTTTATTACTACATTACATAATGGCTATTGTTGCTGTCATCATCATATATTCTCAATAGGTTTATGTGGTGCTTGGCTTCTCTCACTTTGGTAGTTCTTACACTGATGACTTTGCCATCATTCAAAATGTCATCAACTTCATAAACATTGATTGATACTAAGCTATGGTTATTTTCTTCAAACCTATCAATGTCTCCATTACCAGTTGGAAATTGCACCCCTTCCCAGTTGAGTAAATCATCATTTAGTTTGTTATAGTGGTAAAGTTCTTCTGGGTGCTCTTTGTTAATCTTATCATAGACTACACACTGAACACAGTATTTGAAACATTTATTATCTTCGTTTTTGATATTGACGCATGCCTTTTTTAACTTGATGAACCTTGGTAAATCAATATAAATCCCCGCTCTTGTTGGGTCATATTTATCATAGTGTATTGCTATTTTGGTAATCTTTTTGAAAATAAGATTTGATTTTGATGCAAGTTTTTTCAATTTGTAATAAGACTTGCTTGGCGCTGTCCTCTATTGCTTTTTTAAAGTCATCTTCATTATGAATATTAAATCTTGTTGATGGTAAATTGTAAAGTATTTCAAAATCTCCCTCTTCAGTCTGCTTCACAAATAACCCCTCACATCTAATATTCATTCAATTTCATATTTCTATTGTTATTTAAGAATTCAAGTAATAAAGTCTTTTGGTATTGTATCATTGATAAGCCTTTCTCACCTTGATAATGTTCGTTAATCAGTGTTAAGTTATTGGCATAATTTTTGAATGCTGACTGTTTATTTTCAACCCTAAATTTGTTTCTAATTGCGTATTTGGTTAAGGCTTTCTTCATTCCAAGACTTAATGATATTTTCTTATGAGAATAACTCTGATATTCATTGGTTCTTTTAATGGTCTTCAACTTGTTTTGTAGTATGTTTGAAATTGGCTTATCCTTGTTGTATCTATATTTTCTACCATCTATGATTATTTGTTTCAATTCTTTCCTTCCCCTTTTTGGAATTTCTGCTATGTCATTTCTCAGTAAGTAATCAATAGCATTTTTCATGATATAATACTATATATTTTATTAATACAAATATCTCTTTAAGTATTTTTAATTCTGGGAGTAGATACTTAAAGACATATTTATATAAATATATTAGTAAAATGTCAGACACTGAAAGTGAGACAACATATCAAATTACGAATTACGAAGATTTGGACTGTGCTATTTACAGAGTTCTCAACAATTTTTGCTCTTGTGGAAGATGAGATGTTCTGTGGTGATTGCTTGAAGATAACAAAATTATTACGGTTCAATCCTCAGAAACAAATTGCCATTTGAAATTGGTAAGGATGTAGCGTCAAATTTTAGATGTAAGCCATGTCAAAAGATGATTGAGGTTGTTAATTCAGCACCAAATTTCAACAAATATTCATTGTTTGAAATATATATATTTTCCTACACAAGGCTTCATAAGTTTCCAAAGCATGAAGTTATAAAAAATGAAATTATGAAAGGTTCAGAATGGCTTGACAGATATGACAATGATGATGAACAGAATGACAACCATTACAAGTTAAGATATTTCTACAGAGAGTTATATGACTACGAGAACTTGATAAACTGGTTGAGGAGGAATAACGACATTGAAGAAAGAAAGGTTTTATATCAGGTGCTGTTTCAAATAATTTGCCATTTTGAAGATAAACAATACAATAATATTTTGTATGGAGATGGCTTTGGTTTTAGTTTATTGGACTATGTAAATGATTTATTTTTTAATGAGGAACTTGAAAGTGAAACAAGCGATGATGAAGATTTAAGCGATGGAGAGAGTGTAGGGAGTTATGAATGAAATTATTGAATAGTTGCTATAATTATTTAATTATTTTCTACCTACTGACCCATGCCCAACTTCCATATGATGTATCATTTATTGTTTATCCCCCTTCTTGTTGGTTCATTTGCTTTTTATTTGTTGTATTTTTCTGGGAGTATTTTATTTTTCTTTACTTGTTTCATTTCTTGTTCCATGTCTTGGTTCTTCTGGTTTTGTCTTGTCATTTCTTGGTTTTGCTTGGTTCTTTTGTTTTTCTGTCTCATACCTTGGTTCTTTGGTTGCTTTTGGTTAGTGTCTTCAATTTGTTTGGTGTTGAATTGTTGAGTTTGTATGCTGTTATTATGTGTATCTTTGTTTAGTTTTTTAGTTGTTTCATTTTCTGTTTTTCTTAGCCTGTTTCATTTTCTATTCCATATCTTATCATATCATGTATTGTTGGGTGTGTCTTCAATTTCTTTGGTGTTCAATTGTTGAGTTTGTATGCTGTTATGATATGATTTTGGTTTTAGTCCCAGAAAATACATTATGGTAATTTTTGGGGGATCATGTTCGCCCGGGCGAGGTCGCCAAAAAGAGATTCCTTGCTGTAGCAATGTGCGCATTTTGCATATCGGCACAACATCGTCCAAACTCTCCGTTTCGATCCGACATTTCTGCAACTTCGGCCCAACCCGGACCCACTTGGCTCCAACCCAGCTTGTGGCCGGACTGCCCGAAAAGGGCCCAACTTGGCCCATTGGGCCCAAGTTGCGCTTTCCTGGGCCCAACTTGAGCCCATGTTCCACGTTGGAGCGAATTGGTAATGTTGGGCTGAAGCTCACAAAGGGCATTTTTCCTCAAATATGCTTGGACAGGGTGTCCCATGGTGTTTTGCGCATGAACATGTTTGAAACAACCGCCAAAAATTATCCCGGATGTGGTGTTCGCATGAAATGCCCCAGGTTGAACATGACCTAGACTCAGTGACCTGCATCACATAGTTTCAATTTAGACCCCAAAGTTATGCCCAGAATCGATCAGTTCATGCGGACATCCACATCCGGCAGTTCTTGCTGTTGTTTCAACCATTTCATTGCTGGGAAAATATCGCAAACCCTGCGCGAGCCCTGTGCGACTCCGCACGACCCCTGCGCGACTCAAGGATGTACCACATCCCCCCCACCCCCTCTCCCACATGCTTGATAAGATTTGGGAACAAACTTGATGGCGCACTCAGAACCCATGCAACCCTGAAGAAAATGTGACTATCTTACTATATCCTACTATAACATATTGCAACAAGCATAAGCTTTCATACCTCTGAGCAGCAGAACCACAAGAGG